CACGTAATTTGTAGTGACAAACCTATGTTTTACATCTTGGGATTTCACTTCTAGTCAGATTGCCTGGATTTTCAACTGTTTTCTTGGTTTTTGAGACAGGATCTTGCTGTATAACCATGGTTGTCCTAGTACTTAATATGCAAATAAATAGGTCTATAGAGAAATCATTTATAAATATTAGCAACAGTCACTTTATAGCCTTGCTGATCATTTCCAAAACATTCAGGCTGACCATTTAATGAGTGGAAGTAAAAAGCTGTGAAGATAGAGAATTTGTTGAAATATTCTTCCTGTTTCCATGCAGGATTGCAGCAGGCCCTGTTAAGCAGACAGATGCCATCTGACAATCTGGAGCCGGCATTCAGCCCTCGGATGCCCTATTCTGGGTTTGCAGCTGAAGGGAGAAGTACTCTAGCAGACACCCAGCCCTCTGATCCTCCTCCCCCATATTCTGATTTCCACCCAAACAATCAAGAAAGTACTCTGAGCCATTCTCGCATGGAAAGGAGTGTCTTCATGCCTCGGCCTCAGGCTGTGGGCTCTTCCAACTATGCTTCTACCAGTGCCGGACTGAAGTTCTCTGGAAGTGGAGCAGATCTTCTTCCTTCCCAGAGAGTAGCTGGAGACAGTGGGGAGGAGTCAGACGACAGTGATTATGAAAATTTGATTGACCCTGCAGAGTCCCCTCATAGCGAATACTCACATTCAAAGAATTCACGGCCTGTGACACATCCCGATGAGGACCCCAGGAACACTCAGACCTCCCAGATTTAAGTAAACAAATGACACTCTCTCCACTTGGCATTGCTTTTCTTAATGGCTTATTGAGAGTTTGTTGAGGACTTAATCTGTGGGGAGAACTGCTTTCTCAGATGCCGTGGCTCCCAAGTGGAGTACCCCCTGCACAGAACCCTCAGAATCCTCTTGTCCGCTGGTCCTCACTTCTGGGTGCAGTGCATGGGTTCACAGCAGAATCATTACGATAATCAAATTGTCCTAATTCTGGTGCGATTCATGGATGTACTAGTAAATTTAGGCAGAGTGAAACTCCTCAGTATAGTATGTTCTTTAAGATAAATTGGAGATCAGAGACTAAGCACAATTAGTCTATAAATACTCAATAAGTTGGAAACTTACCTCTGCACTATCATGCCTTGAAATTTGCTTTTTCAAAGGGAAATAAGTTTAGCAGCAGCCTTCAAAGAACTTTCTATGATGAGCCAAATTCATCTTTGCCAGAAAAGAAATTTTGCTAATTCCAAGAAGCCTAATTGGAACAAGTCAGACATTCCTTCTCCTGTCTGCATGACTTTGTAAGATGGGAGAGAGGGCTTTGTTTCAACGTTTTTCTACTAGCCTGATATGTATTGTCACCTAAAATGGTTGCCTTTTTAAAAATGTAGAGATACTAATCCCCAGTGAATACTCATCCCAATCAGTGTCAGGAAGTCAGCCCCTTGTCTTTTGGTGTAGGGCGGCAACTTGGCCTCTGTTCTGGAGTCTTTGAGGAAGATAACACAGCAGTGGATGACTGAAAGGAGTGAGATCTAGGCCTGAGTCTGGTGAACAGATCCCAGACACAGTGGATTTATCTGAGTTCCTGTGTAAGAGATGTGTAAGAGATCTAGGCCTGGCAGATCCAGGGCTAGATTTGTGGAGGAGAGATATTTTAAAGAACATATTCAGGAATCTTGGTGAATAAGATCTGCTTCAGTGGTCTGAATAACCATTACCTCCCACCCCACCTTTTTTTTTTAAAGTTGTCATTTGGGAGATAATTGCAAATGTGTGGAGACCATTGGGATGCACTTATGTTTTTATTTAATTATTGCTTGTTTTCTAGTTTTACCCAAAATGTGTGAAACCACTAAAAAAACAATTTAGAATATTGGTTGTGAGATCAGCGTTTATGGCGATCATTCAGCCCATGATGCTTGTCACTGAACTGCCTTTCCTTGGACTGTTTAACACATGTAAGGATGAAGACAGCGTTAAAAGGTTTTAGATCTGGTTCCAAAGGATTTATTTATTTTATAGTGATGTTTACTTATGAGCTCCAGTTCCCAGGCTCAGACAGCAGATTCAGGCTTAGAAATGAGATGCTGAACAGCCTTGCTTTGGTTGTGGCAGGGTCTGGCATTGTAACAGTCCCGGTTTTGCTGGGCTTACACCACTGCCGTTTGATTTGAATATTGAGGGTCACTTTATCTGCAGTGAGTTCCAGCTTTTATCAGCTACCTACTAGCGGCTTCAGCACGGTATGAATTCCAGTTTTTAAAAGTGCCATCGCCATCTCCTCTGTTCAGATTTTGACATTCAGGAAAATATTCTTATTTTTATGCCATACTGAAATATACAGTGTATATCTGACAAAGCAGTTAAATGTGACAATAAAAACTTATTTAATCATGATATATTAGTGTCTTTCTCAGCACCAGCAAGTTCTTGCTTCAGTAGGTATTGTCTTTTCGGTAGATTGTGTTTTTTGGTTTTTTTGTAAGACTTTATTATTTTTATGTGTATGTGGTTGCATGTGGGTATGTGCATTTGTGGGTGCAAGTGCCAGTGGAATCTATAAGAGGACATCAGGTCCCCTGGGGCTGGGTTTACAGATGATTGTGAGCCTCCATCTTCGGCACTCCGAATGAAAGAGATTTCTTTGTTAGAGCAACAAATGCTCTTAACCACTGAGTCATCTCCATGGCTAGGTAGTTTTTTTTTTTTTTTTTTTTTTTTTTTTTTTTTTAAGGGAATTAAAACTTCTCCTCAGTCTCCATAGAGACCTGTCAGTCTGACTTCAAGAGGATTCTAAGAACACAACTTAGTAAAATGTTCATGTTGATTTCAAGGAAAGTATGAGGACCAAGCTATCTAGAAAGTACCCACAGTGGATAAAGCTGCAGCCAGGAGCCTGTGATGGCATCTTTCCCAGGAGAGTTGCTCTTGTTTGAAGTGATTGTTCAGCAACTGAGAGGCACAACTTGGTGCTCTGAGAGTATTTTAGGGTATGTATGTGGGCTCTCAGAACAGGGCCAGCAAATGTGTTTTGGACTTTAGGGAGCTGTTGCAGTTGAGCAATGTGGTTTCCAAACTCAGGGTATTCAATTCTGGGGGTGAAGGGGGAGATGTAATTAAACGTTGTGATTGGTGTTTCTGAAGTAGTGTCAAAACATAAAATTGGACATTTCATCTCTAGATATTCAGGATATATATATTTAAATGCCAGGCAGAAGAGCAGGTGACACTAATTACTTTAATAAAATAATTTCATTTTACTAAGGAGATTAAAAAGAAAAAGGCCAAGCTGGGCCGTGGTGGCATACTCCTTTATTCCCAGCAGTCAGGAGGCAGGTGAGTCTCTGTAAGTTAGAGGCTAGCCTGGTCTACACAGCTCCCTAGCAATACAGAGAAATCCCTTCTCAGAAAAACAAAAACCAAAACGAAACAACAACAAAAAGCCAGGTGTGGTAATGTGCATCTGTAATCCCAGTGCTGGGGAAGTGGAGACAGGAGGATCCTTGGAGCTTGCAGGCCACCTAGTTATGTCCAGTCGTTGAACTCTAGGTTCAGCAAGACCCTGTCTCAAATAAATAAATAAATGAGGGGCTGGAGAGATGCTTCACCTCATAAAGACCTTAACTGATTTCATCTTTTGGGATCCACATGGTAGAGAAAACAATTCCCAGAAATTGTTCTCTGACTTAGCCGTGTGTGTCATGGCATATATAAACACACATACAAATTAATAAAACAAAGCACCTAATGTTGACTTCTGGTCTTCACATGTGTAGACATGGGCAAATATATACTCACACATCTACACAGACACCACATACACACAAACCCACAATAAAATATTTTTAAAGTCAAGAATGTTAAAGCCAGATGTTGGCGGCACACACCTGTAATCCCAGCACTCAGGAGGCAGAGGCAAATGGATCTCTGTGAGTTCGAGGCCAGCCTGGACTACAGAGTGAGTTCCAGGACAACCAAGGCTACAAAAGAAACCCTACCTAAAAAAAGTAAAATAAATAAAAACTTAGGAGAAAGTGACAGCTGTGAATTATGTTCTGGATCTGTTTTGTGTTGGTTGCAAGTTCCTTTTAGTAACTGGGTGCCTCGTACAAGGTTCTCTGTTCATCCCCTGAAAATCTGCCAGTTAAGAATGGAAAATGCAGCCTGGTGGTGGTAGTAGCACACAGAGAAACTGTCTTGAAAAAAACAAAAGTGAAAAATGTAGCTGGGTGTAGTGGTGCACACCTTTAATCCCAGCACTAGAGAAACAGAAGCAGGCAGATGTCTGTTCACTCCAGGCCATCCTGGTCTACATAAAAGGTTCCAGGACAGCTGGAGATTATATAGAGAGGTAGAGATCCTGTCTTGAAAAAAAACAACAAAAAAAAAACAAAAAAAAAAAAAAAAAAAAGGAAAATGTTTGCTTCTCAGCTGACAGTCTTTTTAAGATCCTAGGTTTTGGCTTAACTGTCTTCCTCTGTTGTGTCTCTGTGTTGTGTATATGTTTGTATAAGTGCTGTGTTTTGTGTTTGTATCTGTCTGTATCTTGTAGGTATGTATTTGTGTGTGGTGTGTGCAAGGGCAGGTGCATGTATATCACAGCATGTATGTGGCCGGAGGTCAAAGGACAACCTTTGGGAATTGGTTCTCTCCTTTCACTGTGGATTTCAAAGATCAGACCCAGGTTGTCAGGCTTACACGGCTAGCACTTGTGCCATCTTGCCAGCCGGTCTTACTTTATATAGTGTCTTTTCTGATGTCTTCAGTAAGGCAGGAGCCAGGCCATGGAGTACTGATGACCTGGCTATCTGATCGTCCCTTGAGTACTGCGTGTTATCAAATAGCCTTTTACTCAAGCAAAGATTCAGCAAAAGGAAGCTCGGTCTAGTGTTTTCTTATGGTTACATTTCCATACAGTCTCAAGAAGAAATAGTTTGCCGGATGAGGGCCTCACCCCAATGCGGCCTTAGCTTCCTCGGAGCAACATGGCCTCTGTCTCTGAGCTCGCCTGTATCTACTCCACCTTCATCCTTCACGACGACGAGGTGACGAGGTGACGGTCACGGAGGATAAAATCAATGCCCTCATTAAAGCAGCCGGTGTCAATATTGAACCTTTCTGGCCTGGCCTGTTTGCAAAGGCCTTGGCCAATGTCAACATTGGGAGCCTCATCTGCAACATAGGGGCTGGTGGACCTGCTCCAGCAGCTGGAGCTGCACCAGCGGGTGGTCCTGCCCCCTCTACCGCTGCTGCCCCAGCTGAGGAGAAGAAAGTGGAAGCAAAGAAGGAAGAATCTTGAGGAGTCTAATGATGACATGGGTTTTGGTCTTTTTCTAAGCCTCTTGTTAACATGTCCAATAAAAAGATGAACCTGTAAAAGTCAAAAAAATGTTTTTGGGCTAGGCAGTGGTGGTGCACGCCTTTAATCCCAGCACTTGGGAGGCAGAGGCAGGAGACCTCTGAGTTTGAAACCAGCCTGTCTACAGAGTGAATTTCATTCAGTACAGTCAGGGCTACACAAAGAAACTGTGTCCAAAAACAAAAAAGGAAGTTCTAGGTGTGGAAAGGTGGTTTGGAAAATGGTAAGAGGCACAGGTTTCTAGATAAGTATGATCTGATTATTGTGGGGGGGGAGGCTTGTTCCTTGATGGAAAAGTCTGGAAGGATATTCACTTAAGTAATAATAGTAGTAACTGTTATTTGTAGGCTGTGAAAATAAGGGTGATCTTTCTCCTATTTTTTGCTTATCCACTTTGTTAATATTATTATTCATTTAGTTTTTTTTTGAGACAGGGTCCCACTTTTAACCTTGATGGTCTAGATCTCACTATGTGGACCAGACTGGCCTTGAACTAATAGAGATCCACCTGCCTCTGTTTCCTCGGTGCTGAAATTAAAGGCATGTGCCACTGTGCCCAGCATTTTATTAATTATAATAATAACTAATGTGTGCTGGTTGGGTTGATTATATGTATTGGGTGACATTTGTGCAGTGTCTGTGGAGACCAGAAGGGCATCAGTTCCCCTAGAGTCACCTAGTAAGTACTGGGAACCAAGTTGGGGTCCTCTGCAAGAGCAGTATACATCCTTAACCTTCCCATCTCTCCAACCCCTTATTTACACTTTCTAAACTTTTTTTTTTTTTTTTTTTTTTGGATTTATTTATTTATTATGTAATGTATACAATGTTCTGCCTGTATGTATGCCTGCAGGCCAGAAGAGGGCACCATATCTTATTATGGATGGTTGTGAGCTGCCATGTGGTTGCTGGGAATTGAACTCAGGACCTCTGGAAGAGCAGCCAGTGCTCTTAACCACTGAACCATCTCTCCATCCCCCATTTTGTAAACTTTTTACAGTTTTTTTTTTTTTGTAGTGAGTCTTCGGAAATGGTGATCCTTTTGTACATGCTACCCTACCAGAGATCTAAGAGCAGAGTGAGTCTTTGGTTTTTTGCTGCACTGTTTTCTCAGAGATGTGATCCAGATCCTATCAGCCTTGCTGGGGCAGCTAACTTCCTAGTGTTCAGCCTTTTGCCTCCCTTCTGAAGCACCCATTCACATTTTTGTTTTGTTTTGTTTTGTTTTCCGAGACAGGGTTTCTCTGTGTAGCTTTGAAGCCTGTCCTGGAACTCCTGTAGGCCAGGCTGGCTTTGAACTCACAGAGATCCAAGTGCCATTGCCTCCCAAGTGCTCAGATTAAAGGTGTGTGCCACCACCACTTGGCTACCCATTCACATTTTTTAATCATCAACCCTAATTTTTTTTCCCTAATAAATTTGAAAGCAACTTAATTTTCCTTAGTTTAGAATTGTTTCCTACAGGTCCAAAAAGTCTCAGAGAACAAAGGTGACAGGAGTGATTCAGTCCTCTAAAACAGAAGCCAGTAAGTGCTACAGCGTGGATCTGGGAAGACAAAACAGGAACAATTTCCTTAGTGTGTGTTTGTGTATGTATGTGTGTGTGCATGTTCATCTGTGTAGGTGTGTATTTGTTCATGTGTGTGGGCACACATGTATTTCCCTAATCATGTGGATACTCTCTTTGAAAGACTCTGTGTAGTGAACTTCAATGTGTTAAGTATCAAGAGGTGCAGAGTCTGGTCCCCATACAAACAAGTCTGGGAGGTATTTGATTCCAAAAGAAACATTTCCTTGTTAGGAACATTCACTGTGGCCAGCTCACTGTGCTTGGCAGAGCTGGGGGCATTAGGTCTCAATGACAAACAGATGTGCTTTCGTTGTATTAAAATGGGTCACCCAAAAGACCTTTTTAACAGTTTCAAATCAGGTATGTGGGAGGAAGAAACAGTAGCTGCTCCCTACAAATAAGCACAGGGTCCCTGGCTGGAGGGAGAGGGGCAGTTAGGAGTCTAGAGTTTATGCAACTTGATGCTTTAAGAGAGTTTTCAGTCTGGGACAAGGCTACCCATTGTTTGGAGGCCAGCTCAAATGTCTCCTTTAGAAACCCCTTCTGAGTCTCCTGGAGAACTGTGTAACCCAAGTGCCATACATATATCTTGATACAGTCACTACCCAGCACAGGGCAGACTGAGACTTGATATGTCTCACACTGTGGTAGGTGGTGATGCCCCAGAGGACAGAATAGTGGCCAAAGCACCTCAGAATCCCCAGGACCTGGGGCAGACAGGGTACCAGGAAATATTGTTTCATAAAGGAAGACAGTTACTCTGTTAAAAGGAGTCAGATAAACCACCCCCACCCTGCAGATATACGTGCTTAGAAGAAAGGTGGTAAGACAGAAGTTAGTTACCAGCTGGGAGATGCTGCTGAGAACTCTGGCTGGACTGGTGAGATGGCTTAAGTGGGCAAAGGCACATGTCACACAAACCCGCTGACCAGAGTTTGAGCCCCCAAACCCACATAAATGTGGAAGGAAAAGAACTGACTCCATGACCGCCACTTACATGCTGTGCCACACACAGCTGCTTAGCTGTACCTTCCTACTGGGCTATATGCCCTGGTGGCACATGACAAAATAAACCCTTTTCCTTTTCTTTGCACTAATTTTGTCAGGTATTTCATCACAACAAAGAAACAAGTAATTAGTATACTAGGCTTTAGTCAACTAATCCTTAAATATATAAGAAAGTCCTGACAAGATCTCCCCCACATGCAACTATCTGCAGCCCCATCCACCCAGCTCACTGCTGTCTACAAATAAAACAGAGAAGCTGGGCGTTGCTGGTGCATGCCTTTACTTCCAGCACTCAGGAGGCAGAGGCAGGCAGATCTTTGTGAGTTCGAGGCCAGCCTGGTCTACAGAGCGAGTTTCAGGACAGGGTCCAAAGCTACAGAGAAACTCTGTCTCGAAAAAGAAACAAAACAAAACAAAAACCTTCCATTCCTCATTCTAGTGGCAGATGTCTGGCTCAAACTAAGCCAATCAGATTCTAGAAATTTGTAAAGTGTTCCAAAACCTCAAGGTGCCTAGAGCTGAGTCACAGGGGTGAGCCTAGGTGGGTGGTCCAAGAGGTTCTGCTTCTGAGATCTCTGGGGAACTCTTCTCTGACATGGCCCTGGCTCTCCAGCACTTCTTCTGATAGAGGATGCCACTCAGAACTCCTCAGTGAACTATGTTATCCCTGCTCGTCTGTTTCCTCTGGTCCTAGCCAGAGCACCCTATCTTCTAGGGAAAGTGATAGGAAGTTGCTGACTCTCAGGCAGGCAGTCTCCTTGTACCTTCTTCTCCTGAGATCTAGTGGATTTGCCAAGGGCCTCTGAGGACAGTAACTCTCCCTGGCTTTCTGCTCCCAAAGATGGTGACCCCACCCATTGTTACGAGCATTTCTTTCCCACCAGGCTGGTCCCAGTGCCTTGTCAGCCCCAAATAAACACCCAGACCACTATATCAGTAATGAATACTGTTGGCCATTGGCTGGCTCTGTCTAAATTATTAACTCATTTCTGATAATCTAAGTATTTCCATGTGGTCTTCTCTTACCAGAGAAGGGGTCCAGACCTGTTACTCCTCTTGTGTCCAACATGGTGACTGACTCTGCCTACATTTCCCAGAATCCTCCTTATCTCCTAGTCCCACCTATCTTGCTGCCCTATTGGCCAACAGTGTTTTATTCATCAACCAATAAGGCAAACATATACACAGAACATTCCCCATCCACCTATTTCCCTGTTTTGTGTTTTTGTTTATTTGTTTTATAGCAACTGTGCATTGTTGATTGAGAGGTTTGGGAGCTCTAAAATATTTGGGAATTTTCCTTTTTGTCAAGACAGAGTCTCATACATCCTAGGCTGGTCTTGAACTCAGTTTATAGCCAGGATAACCTAGAACTTCTGATCCTCCTCCCACCAATTCTGGAGTGCTGGGATCACAGATGTACAGCTTCACACCCAAGTATGGACTGAAAACAGATTCATGCTCAGAAGGCACTCTGTGGACTGAGTTATACAGATCCAGCACTCCCTGCCCCCTTTATAAACTTAAACCATTATTTATACATATGGGCATTTTGTCTACATGAATGTCTGTCTACCACGTTTGTTTGGGCATCACATGCACCCCGGGTCCCTGTGGAGGTCAAAAGAAATTGCCAAATCCTCTGGGACTGAAGTTACAACTATTGTAAGCTGCTATGTGGGTGCGGGGAACCTAACCTCAGTCCTCTGTAAGAGCACAGTGTTCTTGTTTGTTTGTTTTGTTTGTTTGTTTTTGAGCCAGGGTGTATCCCTGGCTGTTCTAGAACTCACTCTGTAGACCAGGCTGGCCTCAAACTGAGAGATCTCCTTGCCACTGCCTTGGCCTGCGCCACCATTGCCTGGCTGTGATGAGTGTTCTTTAACAGATGAGCCATCTCTCCAGCCCCAGCCCTTTTTATTGTTTTGAGAAAGAAATAGTCTTACTATCTGGCTAAGACTGGCTTTGAATTCCCAATCCTCTGGCCTCTGCCTCTTAAGTGATTACAGGACTGCATCATCCCACTCAACCCGGAGGGCTTAGGTATTTCCATTCATGGCAATGATCTGGAAGCTTTTCTTGCCCCACCTGGCCATCAACAACACAGATACAAGGCTGTGGGATCCAACTTCTCCCCTGGTAGTATCCCTAAATATACCTTCAGTTTCTGATGTTCGTGGACAAGCATCATTTTGAAACCAAGGGTTTCTTGGATGGTAGCCACTCAGTAGATTGACCAACCCCCTACCTCCCAGCCATACCAAAGACATCCCAGTAGAGCATTGAAAGCACCATGTCCTGAATACCCTCAAGATGATTGGGCCCCTGACCTAAACTGGGCTCAAAGAACCCAATGGCACTTAGA